AGCAAGAGCACGATAATCATTCCGATTCTGGACCAACTATTGAAGAAGTAGACTAAGATGCCAAAAAAAAAAAAAAAACAGAACAAATCATGGAAGTGTGAACGGAATTACAAAAAAAGATAATCAAACTCAAAAATAAGTATGAAGAATGTTCAATCGTCTCTATTCCTAATGACCACCGAACTTTTGCTCAGGAAAGCAATCGTGACCAACTCAAACACCAACTCTTAGAAAAGAAGTTAGAGCAAGTAAGGAATTTAGTGGCTGATAATCAGTTGGAAAAGTTAAAGAGTTTAGTAAAAAAAGGAGAAATTTAACCAATTATGTCCAATCAGCAATTAATTATTCTTTTAATTATCATTTTGGTGGTTTATTTAGCAATCAAGCCCCAAGTTTATGAAGGATTACCACCTCCTCCTTTACCCCCTAAAGAAAAAAGGATAATAGTGCCTAAAAAAGATGATAACTTCGAAAAGCATTTCTCCCCTCGCTCTGATATTCCAAGAGATAAAAAAGTTGGTCCTTGACATCGTCATCCCCAGAAGGATGAAGAATAAAGTTTTAAGTTTAAGAAATAAGTAAAAATTTATGGTAATAATAATATACTACAACTGAATATAGCAAGAAATTTTAGAAACATATGGCAAGAAAAGGAATCAAAATAAAAACAGTGCCTAGAGGCGGATTTGGCAGAGGAAGCAGCGGAGCAAGTTCTGGCCAATACACTAATGCTCAGCAAATTAAAAACCAATTCTTTGCTTTTGCTAGTTCTCAACGAGCCGGTAAAGAAAGTGGAGATGCTGGTTATTGAACTGGTGGCAGATGTGATTGAGGTGGTAAACATAATTTGGATGAAGATTGCCAAGCTCTCGCTAACTTTGCCAATGCTATTGCTAATATCGGTGATGAGAAACAAAACTTAACTCTGGCCATTAATGAACAAGAATTTAACAATAAAAAACAGCAATTAGTAAATAAACTGCAAGATTGTATTAGTAAATGTCAGGCTTCTGACTCTTATTCGGTAGCAAGTGTCTGCTGTATTTGAAATGATTTTTTTGGTAGTTTTTTACAGCCCTGACTAAATGGTTTAAAGTTAAAGTTTCAAGCCGACTTGAACCAGTTGCAAATTATCACTCCTAAGCATCAGAAACAGATATTAGAATTAGAAGCCGAAATTAAGTCAATTGAAGCTAAGTATAAAGAAAATATGGTCAATGCTGCCAAAGAAACTGATCCAGCCAAAAAAGCTAAGTTCGTTGCTGCCGCCCAAGCTGCCGAAACGGAACTAAAAAAGGTTAAGCAAAAATTACGAAATAATCCTTTAACCAAACTTATCCAATATAGTCATTTACTGAATTACACTGATGATTTAGAAAAGTTGTTCCGAGGTAATGTTCCCAAGCAACCACCAACTGTACCTGATGTTCCTAGTTCTAATCCAAGTGATCCAAATGACTCTGGAGGTTCTGGTAGAGGAACTAACCCCACTGGTGGAGGTTCGGGTTGAACTTCCTGAACAGGAGGTTCTAATCCTAACAATCAGCAATCAGCCAACCAACAACAACTCCTGATTTTCGTTGGTCTGGCTTTGCTAGTAATCCTTTATCTCTATACTCAAAAAAATTCTGACTATGACTAACCCACAAGACTTAAAAAATAAACTTGGTGAAACCACTGAGCAAATAGAAGCAACAATTACCCCTTATTACACTAATCTGGAACCTTGGCAAAGAGGCTTAATTTTAATTGCTCTAACTGCCTTTTTAGTCTTCGTTGCTTACCAGTTAACCAAATCTGAAAAGTATGTTAAACAAGACTCCAAAAAAGAAAAAGAGATAGAAGAAAGACTAATGCGACAAATGGCTTTTTTTAAGAGATTGAAAGAGTAATTATGTATAACACTGATAAATACTTTGATTTTGATTCTCCTCCAAAATCAGAAACTAAATCTAAAAAAAAGAAAAAACAACAGCAGCAAATGATTTTACTACTCTTATTGGCTGTGGGTGCTGCTTATTATTACTTTATGATTTATTTACCGGAAGAAGAAACTAAAAAATGGGAGGCGGAGATTCAGGAAAAATTAGATAAAGTAAAGAAATTAAAGCAAGATGATTATGATGACATTACTACACTATTAGTAACTTGTCAAGGTTTTTTACTCTGAAACAACACTGGCACTGAAACCCAAAAGGTTGCTTTATCCAATAAGAAACAAGATTTAGATGGCGCTATTAAATGATTAAAAGAAAATCAATTAACCGCGGAAAGGTTGGAAGACGAAAGATACAAAAAAGGAAGGATTTGAGATTTACCAATCAAGAGTTGGGCTGATAAAAAATTGAAGGATATTTCCGGAACCTTGGTGACAGAATATCAAGCCGAAGCCAATTTATTTCCTGATGGAGATAAAAACTCTGATTTTCATTTTTCGCGAACTGCTAGTTATAAAATCTTTTTCCCTTCTTCCCTCCAAGAACATTATGAAGAAGGAATAAAAAATAAAGAAACTAATTGCGAAATGTTAAAAGGAAAAGAAGATTTGGTTTTATCGAGTGATATTATTGCTTGATATAATAATGTAGTCATTGATCCTGTAAGAGGACAGGGTGATAACCAAAATAATGCTCTTCTTTACGGAATGACTCGAACGGGAAAATCAGCTACGGTAAAAAATCTTTGTTGGGAAGCCAATAAGTACCCTCTCGTTAAGATTGAAGGATCATCATTAACTCCTCGTTTAAAAGTAGCCATGAATGTGCTAGAAAAATTTCAGTATACCATTAGTTATTTAGAATGAACTCTAGAAAAAACTTATGGCTTTGAAAGAGAAACAAATGGTGAAATCCGTTATATTCTGTTTGTGGATGAATGTAATCAGATAAGTAATAATGCAGCATTTTTTGAATCAAATCGTTTGCAATTCATAAAAGAATGCATTGAAGGAAACGAATCGAGCCGCAAAGGAGAAACTAATAATTTATGAATTATGGCCACCAATCACTTAGACCAAATTGAAGAAGCAGTTTATCAAAAGGGTCGATTAAGTAATAAATTATCTTTTAGTTGAACTTGAACCGAGTTTAAAAAAATTTGTGAAAAAGCTGGTATTCTCGGTCAAATACCTCAACGCTGGATAGATGTTGGTTCTTTAACTAGCGAAGAAGACAAGTGAATAAAAAAATTCAATATTCCAATTTTTTATAAAGATTTTTTAGGGGATGATCCACAAGACCCAGAAAAGCCTAGATTTTGAGACTTATTTATCGCCAATCACCCAGACGCTATTTTAGAAACCGAAGAGGATGAATTAGATGACGATAATCAACCAACCGGTGAAAAGAAAAAAGTAGAAATAGAAATTGGCGAGTTTTTGGAATATTTTTGAGACCTCCAAGAAAGTGGAAATATTAAAAACTATAAAGGAGAATTTGAATCACTAAAACAGATAAAAACTGAGGATGTATTAGATAGCAACTTACCCGAAATGTCCGGCCTATTGGCCCAATCTTCCAATGAATTAAACCAAAGTTTAGAAAATTTACGACAAGAAATAGAAGCCCTTAAACAACAATTACAAACTTCTGGTATGAATAGTCAACTTGTCACTGTCCAAAATAATATCAATACCTTATTTCAACATGTCGGCAATTTAAGAGCCAAAATTGAAAAATAAAAAACTATGAATAAAGAATTACAAACAAAAATAAAAACCATTGAAAATTTAATCACCCAAACCCAATCTACCCTTGCCCTCTGAACTAAAAATATTGAAACCTACCATAATCAACTAAAACAAATTACCCAACAACTAAACCAAATCAAAAAACAAATAAAGTAATATGAAATTAACAGTCAATAAAATCAGCCTAAAGGGCTTAAATATCAAATAAAACTATGGGATTCTGAAATTGAGTTAAAGAAAATACTGGTAAAATTGTCGTTACTGGAGTGGCTGCCATTGCCACGGGCGGAGCTTCGTTAGTTGTGCAAGGAGTAGTTATCGGCGGAGCATTCTTAGCAGGAACATTAATAGATAACGACACTAAGAAACGAGAAAATGAAAATAAAAAATTAGTTTTGGCAGGCAAAGCAGGTGAAGCGATAACTAATCAAGTAAATGGTCTACAGAATGACCGAAATCGAGCAGTTCAAGAAGCCGAGGAATTGATAAAAGAATTACAAAGACATAAAGCAAAACTAAATGACCCTATAAAAATAATAAAAAAAGCCGTGGAGAGAAGATTAAATAGTTTAGTAAGCAATTATCTCAGTTTAGAACATGACATAAATCTGGAGGAGGCACTTGTTTTGTTGTTTGTGTCATAAAAAATGAAGATAATCTACTTTTATTTTTATAAAATAGTATTAATAAGATGACGATGAGAATGATAGTAGAGAAGTTTTTATTCATGGAGAGTTTAATTTCTCTCTCTCTCTCTCTCTCTCTGATGGGTTATTGTCATCAATTACCTTTTTTGCTCATTCACCACAATCAGGGCAAGCAAAAGGTTCAGAATAAGCTGTAAAACAATTCGGACATAAAGAGTAATTAGGATATCGAGATCTTAGGATTGAGCAATTTTTAACATGTTCCTTAATAAAAGGGTAGAGTTTATTATGTTTATCTTTTCAATCCTTATCAAGACATTCTTTACTGTGATCAGCCGAAGCACGACTCCCCTTGGCTTCACAAATGCAAGTTGGTTTTCATTTAAAGAATTGCTCCTCGTCGAGAATTTGTTTACAACCTTTTTCGCATTCTCATCCTATACCTGGCATATTAGTTCTTGTTTTGTAAATGATATAAAGCTGAAAAATTTCCTTCGTAAACATAACTGCACAACAGCAATAGTTCTTCGAAATTTATAGGCTTATTATGCTTAGCATACTCCTGCACTTCTTTAATAAATCTTCTATTACATTCTTTTGTTTCTGGATTTTCATCTTTTGTTGATTTGTTAACAACTGAAATCACACAATCTGAGCAAAATTTATGAACACCCGAATTGTCAAGTTTTAATCTTACTATTTCTTCCTCTATGGTTGGCAACTTACAACCTTCGCATTCTTGAAGGCTAACCGAATAATTTTTCTTCATGTGAGACATATATTATATTTTTCTAAACTTTTAAAGATTTGAAAGTTGAAACATATCTAAAAAGAAAAAATTCCTGCCTTATTCATTATCAGAAATTTCTGCTGGAGCAACCGCCTCACCTAATAATAGTAGGCGGAAGAACTAGATCCGATTAGCAACCAAATAAGCAGATAAAATTTGTCTTTTCCTGACATTCTTGATAACTTTTAGGTAAGATTTTTCAGAGCGTAAGGAACGTAAACAACTGCCGCAAATTTTATCCTTGGTTTTCTCCCCAGTTCAATACTCCCAATCATAGACCTTGCTATGAGCACCAGTAGTCTGATTTCACTTAATCCAGAAATCCTGGGAACACTGAAAACACTTAGCCTTAGTCGGTAATCCTTTAGTGCTACCTGAGCGTTTAATAATTTCTGATAATAATTCTTCGTCTGAAAAATTTTTTAATTCTTTATTCATTTGGTGTAAAGTTATATACTAGTGCCTAAAAGAATTCGGAAATGCTTTTAAGCAAGCAATAGCGGAAGAATTAGAAAAGGGCGAACTTGACCGTGAAAGAGCAGAAAGAATTTGCCCCCGCTATTCAGCGGGCGACCCCGCTAATGGTCTAGACGCAATTCTGAGAAAGGATTATATTTATGCTGGTGGCACAGGAGAAATTAATGACCTTGGTGGCAGTGTAGTTATCGATAGTTGATGAGCGGTTTTTCAAGGATTAACAAATGATATTCGAGATGAAAAAGGTAATTTACTTCCCAACGACGGTAATCCTCTTGGTGTCGCTTTGAAGAATGCGGGAGGTGCCGGAAATGTCCAACTTCCCAATGATATTGATGTTACAATAAACCACGGCGGCACTAGTGAAAGAATTAATCTAACTGGAGGCTTGGTTGAGGACTGACAGGACAATGGTGGCAATCATGCTTGTATTGGCTATTTGCTCGGTCGGCTTTTTGCCCGTGATTATGAAGCAGGAGAAATTTGGCTGGATGAAGATAATAACCTGGTGGCGGCGGACCACGCTGGGAATGATATCTGAGGCGGTTATGCCGGTTTATTAGAATTTGACAAATTATTAGATTGAACAAGTAATTTTGAAGATGTCAACGAACACACCTCTGTCCAAATAAATAGTGGTTTTTATTATGATAATTTGTCATTCTTTTTTTCAGGCAAGGAAGAAGAAAAATTGATGAATAAATGATTAATCAAGCAGATCGAGTTGGGTATTTTTCCTGAGCATCGTTTAACCCCAGTCCAATGTCAAGAATTACATCGATTAGGCTACCGACCCGAAGATTTAAGAAATGGTCAAGAAGTTGGCGGCACTCCTGGTCATGTTAACGTTTATAAAATAATAGGTAGGCAATGAGTAGAAGACTTTGTTAATATTGAGAAAGCTCGTAAATTAGGTGAGTGATTTAGTCTAGTTGATACTGAAGTTTCTAGTCCTACTAAGGGTGGAATTTTCGCTCGGCCAAAGTTAAGGACTGCGAGTCTTTTTTTTGAACAGAAAGATAGAGAAATAGCCGAAAAATGACTGAATCATCAATGTGATATTAAAATTAATTCAGATAATTATTTAGAATATTTTCAAGTTCAAGGATTACATAAATTAGGTTGAGACCCTAACGATTTATTTAATGATGGCTATGGAAACTGGCGGGCAATAGACCCTCTTTCTGGTAATCATATAACCGGGATAGATAATATTCTAGGGGTAGGAAAAATTGCCAACTTCCGGGCTGCTTTTGACACAACTGAGCCGACGAATGGTGATGTAGATGATGGACTTCCCAGTTTAAGAAATGACGAGTTTTCTCGTCCTATTATTGATAGGTGATTGGAGGTAATTTATCAACAAGGAATTAACCCTGTTAATTTAACAGTTGCTCATATCCAGCGTTTACACCAGCAAGGTTGAGATCCTAAGGATATTGTGGCTCTGGAAGGGGATTTCGGAGGACGTGATTTTACAGTTATTAATCCGGCGACTGGTCTAGTTGTTGATCCAGGTGGTTTTACTGGCGTTGATGGCTTAGGTCAAAAAATAGGCATTTGACGAGCGGCAATGGGTGGACCGGCCACAGGTCCTCGTAATCAGAAGTTAGATGGCTCGGGAAACAATGATGCTGATAATGCCATCATGAGGGAGTGATTTGAACTTACCAAAAGCGGAGGTGGTGAAATTGCTAATGATGAATTAACGGCGGCTAAGGCTCGGGCCTTATGAGATAATAATTGAGAGAGTGGAGATATCAAATACTGATTTGATGATAATAGTTGAGGCGTTGAAAACCCACTAACAGGAGAACGAGTCACTAATTTTGACGATATTATTGCCTTGGGCGATAAAAAAGATTTAGAAAATAGAGCCAAAGACAATTATCGGGCGGACTTCCGTGTGGTGGCAATGCTGCCCAGTGAAAAAGAAGCTCATATTACGCTACTCAAATAAAATGTTAATTTTTCTTTAATTCATTTTACTAATATTTTCATCCTCTTTCTTTTCTCCCTCAGCCTCAGGGTTCTTTTTAACAAATCACATTATAAAAACGGCGATGGCTAATCCAAGAGTAGCAAAAGCAACAAGACCCGAACTTGGTATATTAGTCAACTCCTCACCTTTCTCGGTGCCAATAGGAACAATCGCAGTTATAACAAACAAGACAATAGGCCAAATTAAATCGCCTGTTGTTTTCTCTTTGGCTTTTATAATCTTATAAAGTCTTCATCCTGCCAAACATGCTAATATCAGATGAATAGCCAAAACACTTCCCATGAAAATCCTTGCTCGGGATAATATTCCTTCATCCGTTTTACCCTTTTCTATCCACTTTGTTATCTGCTTTATTAAATAAGTATCTAGTCCTAACATATAACTATTTGACACTATTTTTTACTAAAAGGGAGCAAGGCCTTTTAGGATAGTTAATACTGTTTTTTTTTTTTTGCCCCAATGAGGGGGAGGGTATTATATTTATTTTCTGTCATATACTATATTTTAGTTTTGTTTCAACACAAAGGGGGGCAACAAGTAAAATTGATTTATGCTTATTTAACTACTTTGAGCCAAATGTATCCTCTTAACTTATTCCTTTTCTTTAAATCTTTAACAGTTTCCCAAAAGTGTTCTTTATCATAGTATAATTCGAGTAAACAACTATCGCAAATATACTTATCCTTCTTTCTTGCTTCCTTATTTTTTCAAAAGTTAGTATTTATTTCTTTTGCTTCTGGATTAGTTCAGTATTCTCAGTTATTTTTAAAACTGTATCTCTTTTTAGGAACAACATATTTAATCTGAATAGAATTCTCGCACTGGAAACATTTGGCCTCTATTGGTTTAGGAAAACCCCTTTCGTTAACTAATTGAATTGGAATTTTTCTTTTTGTATCCTTTTTGTGTATATTCATAAATATATTTTATATATTTTTGCTTTCTGACAGGCAATAAATGGGAAAATATCACCCTGATTATGGCGAAAAAAATACTCTTGTCCCATCTTGTATTCTTAAAATATATATATATGATGAAAGAAAATAAAACGAGATTAAGTTCTCAACAAATAATTCAATTGAAACAGAAAGGTCTGAGCCAAAAGGCAATGAGTGTTATCTTTGGGGTAACGCCACAGTCTATAACAAGGTGAAAGAAACAAAAAAAACCTGCTCCTCGGGAAAGGAAGCGGAAGCCGAAAGATTATGGGAAAATACCTGAACTTCTAAAATCTTGTATTTCCAAGAATATTGCGATTACGCAAAGGGAAATGTCAGATTACATTTTTAAGGAAATAGGTCAATCAATTAGTCAGCAAAAAGTTTCTCGTATATTAAGAAAGTGTGGTATAACCTATAAGAAACTAACTTACCACTATACTCTATTAGATAAGGAAAAAGCAAAGGCATTCAACGAGGAGATTAAACCATTACTTAATGAATATCCTTTTATTGCCTTGGATGAATGTTCCTTTTACCCTAACCAAGACCCTCGATTTGGGTATTCCTTAAAAGGAGATAGAGCGATTGCTCGAAAACCCGGTCATAAAGGAGAGCATTACACCTTACTTTTTGCTATTAGTAATCTGAAAGTAAATGGAGTTATTCATTGGAAACTAGTTAAAGGAAGTGTGGATTGAAAAGTTTTCTATGATTTCTTGGAGGAAATTAATCCTATTGGAGACAAAAGGAATTATCTGATAATGGATAATGCTAAAATACATACTGCTCCTGATAAGAGAGAGGAGGCAGGAGTGCCAAGTGTAGAGGAACAAATGCTAAAAAAGAATATCGAAGTAAGGTTTATTACTAAATATGCTCCTATGATAAATCCTGCCGAATTGGTTTTTAATACACTTAGACAACAAACCGAAAAACAAAGGCATAGAAGTTATGAGGAAATGGAAAAATCAATAGAAAAAGTTATTAAGGAAGTATTAAATAAGGAGAACCTTTCAAAACGATTTTGGCACTGTGTAAATTACTCTTTTGATGGGAAAAAACAGCCAAAGAAAAAAAAGGCTAAAATACCTTATAATGGAAAGAGTAATGGTAAACGAAAATAAATTGGCTTGTTGTCAAGAAAAAGAAAGAACCTTAAATAAGATATCTACTCAGGAAGTTTCTATTGTAGAAAATGTTTCAGAATGGATAAAGTGAACCAAGTCTAAAAAGATTTGTCAGGAGTGTAAAGAGTTTCGGGCTGATAGTCTTAATGCTATGGATAAGGAAACTGCTGAGATGGATAAGGATAATTATTTAAAAAAATATTTCGTGGTTGAATAATTAGTGAAAATTAGATTATAAAACTAAACAAAAAATTAACATTTTATTTGAGTAGCGTAATAACGAATTGGGTGATGACAATGAAACTAATAACTTCATTATTGACCAGTATCGTGAAAACGACATTCCTGTTAATGAGGCAGTAAGAGCCTATAACCTTGGTTGGATTTATGGCCTGGAAATTTGAACAGATAACGAAACGCCACCAACAAGATTAGCCTCCATTCATGGTTGAGAAAATAATGACGGGTGAGGTGCTGACTACACTGCTGTTTCTCGTGACCAATGGATACTCGATGAAGGATTAAGTAATTTAGAAAAAGTGAAAATGAACGCTTTTCAATTAGATGATACTGGCCGGCGATGAAAAGAAAAACTTGATGAATCAGAAAAAGATGACATTAGGGATGCTACCACGGAAGAAAAAGTTAAGAACTTACAAAAAGAAATTCGGCAAACTCGCTTCCGAAAAGTAGTGCGGAAAGAAGCAACTAACCAGGCAGAAACCGATTTTGGTTCAGAAGCATCACCTGCACCAGGAAGTGATTTTATTATAGACCAATTTAATAAGGACAATATTACTCCAGCAGAAGCAGTGGCCGCTTATAATCTGAGTTGAGTTTACGGGTCAGAAATAGGAATTGATGGAGGCAAGAAGCAATATCGTTTTGCCGATGGGGGCTGAATGGAGTTGGATTGGACCACCGATGACCGCAATACCCCTTTTAGTGTTTTATCATCCGAACTAAAAGCCAAAACAACGGCTTTACAACTTAAACACAACGGGGAGCGTTGAAATCCTCCTCTGACAACCGCCGAAATTGATCGAATTAGGCAAGCCGCTGACGTGGCTTCGGTTGCTAATTTACAACAGGAAATTGAGCAGGAGCGGACTTTTATTTTTGATTTCCGTCAAGTTGCTGGTGCTGCGGCTACGGCGACCGATTCTGACATTTTAACTTATTGTAGGAAAAATCTAACGGGTTCTCAGGCCGCGGCCCTTTATAATGGTAATCCCCAGGTGCTTGGCTCCGAATTAAGAAAAGGAACTGGTAATGATCAGGTAGAGTTTGATGGTAAGTATTATCAAGTTACTGATACGGTGGGCATTATTGCGGCCAAAAAGGCTAAAATTGACGATGCTAATAATAAGGTAAAATTAACCAATGCTAAAACGGCAGCAGAAACAGCCATTAAAGGTGCTCAAAAAGAATCCGGTAAACCAGAAATAACTGATACAGAATTGAATAAACATTTAAAAGAGGTGGATCAGGTTCTCAATAATACCATCCCTACTTGACAAGATTATATTAAAGCGGCAACTACTGAAACTGAGGTAAGTTCCCGTCAAACAAAGGTTTTAGAGGCTATTGCTACTCTAAGGAAAGCCAAAGAAAAACCTTCTTTTGATGCGACCAAAGCCCGTACAGAAGCTATTACTAAGGTTAAAAGTCATTGAAAATCTAAATCCAGTGATCAGACCGAAACTGGCACAGTTAATGGAAAGAAACTAACCGAAGTTTTGGGAGATAATTGAGAAAATGAGTTTGACGACAAAGACCAGCAAACTGATATCGACAACCAGAAAAAGGAATTAACCGACAAAATTGACGCGGAAAAGGCTAAAGAACCAACCAAAGAGCCACCAAAGAAAGAAGAACCAACTAATAATGAAATAAAAGAAGCAATTAATAATGCTCTTGGGATTGAGGTTGAGCCTCAAGAAGAAGTTGTTAAGTCTTGACAATCTTTCAATAATGACGACTCCCAATTAAAAACAAAAGAAGAGATTCAAAGTTTTCTGAAAGAAAACCTTAAAGATAAGGAAGAAGAGTTTGTTAAATTGCTGGATGAATTACCGGGTACTGATAAACCTACTGGTAGTGACGAAAAAGAGAAAATAAAAAACTTCCTGGCTAGTCAAAAGGCAGAAGTAGTAATTAAAGTTGTATTTCGCCAAAAATTAAAAGACGAAGACTTTCAAACCCAAATTGAGGACGAAATGAAAAATAAAAAAAATGGCGATGAGAAACCATTAGACGAAACTTTTTATCCAAAAGAAAACGGGAAATTTACCCAGGAAGCCATGATTAGATATCTTTATGAGAAAAAAACTGGTCAGAGTCATCAATTTGCTGCGAAAAATGAGGAAAGAGGAGGGTCAGACACGTCAACTAGCGGAAAAAGCCATTGAGAGGAATGAAAATATTGATATATTGGCGGAGGAATTTTAGTGTTGATAGTTGGGCTAGGGGTGGCTTTCTGAAACAAATTAATCGGCTCAACTGACAAAGATGGATAAAATCAATAAATTTTCTTTGTAGTATTGTAATAAACTTCTATATACAGAGTGGGAAAAATATTAGATTTAAATAATTTACTAACTACTTGAAAAAAGTTTGCTAATCAGTATAATATTACTTGGAAAAACTCTTTTCTACAATGGGAACTGCCCTTAAATATTTCGGCAGACTTTGCTTTGACTTTGGCTTTGCCAATTTCTCATAAAACCAAAAAAAAACCTTCAGAAATAGCCCAGGAAATTATAAAAACAATCAATTATCCTAGTTTAGAGTATACTATTACTCAGCAAGGCTATATTAATTTTCGTTTTCCTCTTTCTTATTATCAGCAGTTTCTTAATGAGACATTAGTCCAAGAAGGCCAAAATCTTCGAGGTGAAAAAAAAAATCTTCGTCTAAATATTGAGTATATTTCTGCTAACCCTACTGGATACTTACATTTAGCTCATTTTCGTCATGCTTTTATTGGCAATGCCTTGGCCAATATTTATCAGTTTAGTGGCTATGAGGTAGTAAGAGAATATTATATCAATGACCGCGGAGGGCAAATTGCCTCCTTAATTAATTCTGTTTATTATTTTTATCACCAATTACAAGGTGTTAGTTTGCCAAATTTAGACAAAATAGAATATGTGGGCAAGTCCAGCCAAGAGGTTGCCCAAAAGTTAATAGTTAAATGAGGTAAGAAATATATTAACAGACAATTAAAGGAGGAGGATTTTATTATTTGAAAAAAAAAGATTTTAGAACTAATTTTCGCCAAAATTCGACAAGATTTGGAAAAATGTGGAATTAGATTTGATATCTGGTTTTCTGAAACTAGTCTATACGGAAAAAACAAGCATTTAGAATTATTGGAGGAATTAGAAAAAAGAGGTTTAATTTATACTCAAGAAGGAGCCACTTTTTTCCGCAGCAGTTTAGGAGGAGATGACAAAGATCGAGTAATTATCAAGCAAGACAGCGATTATACTTATTTTTTTTCTGATATTATTTACCATCAAGAGAAATCAAAAAGGGCTGACAAATTAATTAACATTTGAGGAGCTGACCATCATGGAACTATTGCTCGCTTGAAAAGTGCTTATCAATTATTAGGTCATAAGCCGGAAAAACTACAAATAATTTTGGTTCAAATAGTCAATTTACTTACTAAAGAAGGTCAGACCCAAAGGTTTTCCAAACGAGCAGGTAATACCATCGAATTAGTCGAAGCCTTACAATATATGGATATGGATCAATTAAAGTTTTTTTTATTAGAAAAAGAACCTAATCAACCTATCTCTATTAATGCTGAATTACTAAAAGAAAATAAAGAAAAAACTCGGCTTTATTATATTCAATATGCCCATGCTCGCTGCCACCAGATATTTCACAAAGCCCATGAAAAAGGTATCGAAAAAATTAGTTCTAATATTGATTTACTAAAAGAACAAGAGGAGAGAAAAATATTTAATTTGCTAATTCGTTTTTCTTTTATTTTAGAAAACATTATCGAAGAAAATAAACCCCACCATTTAATTAATTATTTGTATGAATTGGCTCGTGCTTGACAAGTCTATTATCAAAATAGTGTTATTTTAGAGCCAAAAGACCCCGAGTTGACGAGTCAAAAACTCTTGTTGGTTAAAAATATCCAAATAACTTTAAAACTTGGTTTGGATTTGATGGGAATAACCGCACCATCCAGAATGTAGAATTATTGCTTATTTTAATTGTTTAAATAAGATTTTCATAACTCTTATAGTATAAATTTTAAAATTAATCTAATGGATAGAAAAAAAGTTATTGTGGCTTTGAGCGGAGGGGTAGATTCAGCCGTGAGTGCCTATCTCCTGAAAAAAGAAGGCTATGAGATAATTGCCATTTTTATGCAAAACTGGGATGATTATCTGGGAGGACAACCCACCAATATTTGTTCGCAAACTCAAGATTGAAACGACGCCCAGAAAGTTGCTAGACAACTAAAAATTCCGATTTACAAAGTGGATTTTATTCGGGAATATTGAGACAAAGTATTTGCTAATTTTTTGAAAGAGTTAAAAAAAGGGCTTACTCCTAACCCTGATATTTTATGTAATAGCACAATTAAATTTCATTATTTTGTTGAATATGTAAAAAATAATTTTGCCGCTGATTTTATTTCTACCGGCCATTATGCAAAAATAATTCAGGAAAGAGAAGAATGTTATTTAGCAAAACCGAAAGATACCAATAAAGACCAAACCTATTTTTTGTGCCAGATTGACCGCCATTTATTAAGTAAATTAATTTTTCCCTTGTCCGACTTAACCAAAAAAGAAGTACGCCAAATTGCTGGAGAGGCAGGCTTAATTAATGCCCAAAAAAAGGACTCAACCGGCATTTGTTTTATCGGTGAGCGAAAATTTGAAAACTTTCTTGCTAATTATTTTCCTAAAAATGAAGGAGAAGTCATAGACATTGACAACAAAAAAGTAATAGGCAAACATTCAGGAATTCCTTATTTTACTATCGGACAAAGGCGTAATTTAGGACTACAAGGACAAAAAAAACCGCATTATGTAGTAGGAAAAAGTATTGAAAAAAATGTAATTTATGTGGCTGGCGGCTGGGACAACAAGTGATTATATAGTAAATGGTGTATAGTGAAAAATATTAACTGATTAGCGTCAGAAAAAGAACTAGGGGGATATTTAGAGAAGCAAAAAATAACGGCTAAATTTCGTTATCGACAACCTGAAATTTCAGTCAAAGTTTTCTCCTTGACTGATTTTAAGGAATTAAAAGTAGAATTTTTTGAAAAACAAAGAGCCATTACTCCCGGTCAATATGCGGTTTTTTATTGAGATAATATTTGCTTGGGAGGAGGAATAATTGCTAACACAGAAAGAAATGGAGAAAATGGCGAACCAAACTTTTAAGGTGCTGGGAATTAATAAATTAGTAATTAAGAAGTTCTCTTAATTTCTTCGTCAATATTTCTTGAAGTTCCTCGGACAGAAAAAAATGATTGCCGCTGTAATCACCTTCAAACTCCGCTTGATAGCCCTTTTCTTTGAGTAATTGAGCCGATTGACTACCCGCGCTGGCGGGAACTATATCGTCATAATAGTTATGATAAAGAGGAAAAGGAATAATTTTATTTTCCTCTTTAGCTCAATTGAATACTTCATTGCGACAAGGCAAAAAGGCACTCAAGCCAATAATTCCGGCTAAGCGGTAATCAGAAGTCAAACCGATCGCCAAAGCCACTGCCCCTCCTTGTGAATGACCTATCACCATAATTTTTTGTGGTGAAATTCCAGAGTTTATTTCTTGTTGAATAATCTTTTTAATTTGATTAACTGATTTTAATAAGCCCTCTTTATCCTCTTTTAAGTTCATAATATCACGAGGATTACCTTTAATATTGTATCAGGCTGGCATTCTTCAACCTCAATTCATGCTCACTGAGATAGTGGGAGCTTGAGGGATAATAAACTTAACATGAGGGAATTTTGTGGCTAATGGTTGACAAATGCTTTGCTGATTTTCAGCATTATTACCTAAGCCGTGAAGAAAAATAACGCTGGCTGAATGCTTTTTTGTTGGTTGAATAGTTATGATTTCCAAGGGTTTAATAATCTCTTTGTTAGTTTTATTTTTTTGGTTTTTCTGTCGGGAAAGTGCCACTATTCCTACCACGGCAAGCAGAACCATGATAGCGATAAAAAACAGAATTAAATGTTTTTTGGAAGAAGTTTTTGTCATTAAATTGTAAAATATATAATGTTAAGGAATTTAGAAGTTATGAATATAAAAGATTTTTTTGAGTTATTTTTTGTGATTGCAGCTGGAATTGCTATGCCTTTTATCGTAATCGGTAGTTATTTTAATTTGGTTTCTAATGAAAAAGAAAGAAGCAAGCCCTTGGCGATATTTTTTTTAATTGTTAGTGTCATTTATGCTTTAATTTATACTTATTTTGCCTGAAAAAGTCTAAGAGGCAGTGACAGTTGAAAAAGAGTCATGGGGAAGGATAAGGGTACGGAAGAAAAAGGAAAATAAAATTAAATCATATACGAGGAGGCGCAAGGAAGAACCAGAAAAGTAAGGAATAAAAAGTATTATGTGGTGCAATAGATGTAAAAAGAGAATACTAAAAGGAGACAAATTTGTTGAAATAGGTAGCGATAAACCATTCTATGCCTGAATTGGATGGACTGAACAGCGAAGAGAAAAAATAAGGGGAAAAAAGGTGTTTTGCCCCCCTTGTGCGAAAAAAGAAAGAAGGCGAAGAAAAAAATTTTGAAAGGATTTTTTTTGATTTAATGCTTTTGTTATTTTTGTCATCCTTTTTGGAGCGGTTATTGTTATGGTATCAAAAGCATCAAAAAAATAAAATAAGAGTTTGATACTCCCCAATTAAGTTCTTTGCTAATTTTTCTTACAATTATTTATACGGAATCGGTATTATTAGGGAAAATATTAATATAATAAAGACGTTTAGTTAATTTGCTTTGGTAGCGTCTTTATACTTTCCTATTGTATCATTCTACTATTAGTGAAGCATTTATGTTTTTATTCAGTTCTTCTGGCAAAGGGGGTCGTAAATAAGTAATTTTTAATTTTTCCTTATTAAAGTCTAAAAAAGAAGGAGTTTTAACGTTCTGTTCAAGACTACTTTTAATAATTTTATTCTCCTTCATTTTTTCTTTTTTTAAACTAATAACTTGTCCTGGCTCCATTTCATAGGAGGGAATATTATTTTTTTTTCCATCAACCAAAAAGTGTCCATAACTAACTAATTGCCGAGCGAAGCGAACGGTATTGGCTAATCCTGACAAAACTAAAATGTTATCGAGACGTAATTCTGAAATCATTAGGAAATTAGTTCCCGCATCACCAGACTTCGATTTGGCTTTGATAT